CGCTGTTCCATTTGCGGTTTGTATTTTTGGTGGTTTCGGCGAGATAGCCTTCATTTCACGCCACAAGCAAGCTCGACGATTCGCCACAACATCGAAATATTTCGCATAATGCTAAGAAATTTAATGTTCAGATAGAGCGTCTTATGTTCTGCAAAGTTATTCGACATGACGCTGCACCATTCGTGTGTACGCTGTACCATTCTACATTACGCTGAGCCATTTCATGCAACTCTACACCATTTGTGTGTACGCTGTACCATTCGACATCACGCTGAGCCATTTCACGCAGCGCTACACCATTTGTGTGTAGGCTATACCATTCGACATTACGCTGAGCCATTTCAAGCAAAGCTACATTGTTTGTATGTACGCTGTACCATTCTACATTACGCTGAGCTATTTCACGTAACGCTACACCATTTGTGCGTACGATGTGTTACTCGACATTACCCTGTGCTATTTGACGCAACACTACACTGTTTGTTTACTGTATTGCAAATGAGTGCTAAGCTATTCGTAATTGAGCTAGTCCATTTCACAATTTCATGTTCCAACTCGACATGGGCAACTAGACCGTTTATCATTTGGCTAGACTATTCATGATTAGGGTGTTCTGTTTCATGAAGGAAAATTAAATCGTCTATAATTTGGCCATGCCATTCCTTTATTAGCTATTCTATCCTGCAGCTGATCCTCAAACCAGCTTTATATTTGCTGATCTATTTGACATCCTTGTATTTTTGGTGGTGACGGCCGCCCATACGAGGCGTTTCAGCTAATTTTTTTAAAAACTACGTGTGCATATCTACTTTTGAATCGGTCTGAGATTCGTACTGTTTCTGGTACCTGTCGGCGTTCACAATCGAATCGAATAATCTGACTATTAATAATGTAACCCCTAACGTAACCCTCAGAGGTTACGGGTAAAAACTGTCGCACTGCTTGTTAAGGTTGTAAGCAAACCCGACTCAAGGCTGCATGTACTTTGCTGAGCTGACATCCAAATCCTTCCAAATCCTTTTTGCGTCGATTCTGCAAGAATATATACAGATTTGAAATAAATAAAACATACCCTCAATCTGTTAATTATCCTCACCAGATTAGCAAAACTTCTGCAGTGACGCTACCCCTTGAATGGTTTCGTAGAAGACTACTGTGCTTTTTTTCTTTGAACCAGCTTTTTCGCGTGACCCCTGAGGGAAAAAGTAATATTATCTCCTCGGGAAGCCCTCAACCCAACCAATCGGGGGTCGCTCGAAGCACTGGTCACTTTCCCTTCACAATCCTTGCTCAACCACGTGCATATGTCAACTGCAATCCAATGATAATAAGATTAAGGTTACGATATCAAATTTTCATTACATAGAAATAATTGACTTGTCTGCATTTTATGCCAATGAAAAAGCTTCACTTTATAATGAAAAACTGAACCAAAATTAGTTTCAATTTTTTTTGCTTTGTGTCACCTAAAAATCCAAAACATCAACCTTACCCTTACCTCCCCCGTTAAAAGAATTGTGTTAGTCTCAACTCGCGTTTCGACATTAAACAGACAAAAAAACAAAAAATTAATATAAGAAATAATAAAAACAAAACCAAACCAAAAAAAATATAAAACTTGCAAACCGCCAAAGGCGTAAGTATAAAGAGGTGACCAAGAGTGATAAAGTTGAACAATCTCTTTGGGCGGCCAATTCCTAAATAATTTTATTTTTGTTTCTCAATAATTGAAAGACAGGAGCCTGAAAGAGTAATGATTTGAAGTAAGGTCTAATCGCAAAGCAGAAATTTTTTTTGGGATCACTTTCTGAAGGAGCTTAGATACCAGGCTCAATTGGGTAACCAAGCCTTCTGATGATTTGTTTACAATTTTATACTCACCTCCCCCGACTGGTTGAAGTGCGATTGGATGGGGACAGGCAAGGGAACATTTTTGTTACTTGCGCGAGAAAAAACAAATGGGAAGTTAACTATTAACCCTATTTTTTTTTCATTTTCGCGTGAAAGGATATTACCTTATCTCGCTGCGCTCCGTTCAAATACGAA